ATTGATCTATGCCTGTTCGTGAGTTCAGGGGCACCGCTGTTTCTAAACCTTTCTGAGAAAGCCGTTTTCATTGTAAAAAACGCCTTCGGAAACCTTGCGTTTTTGAACGATTAGGAAACAAGGGACGTGGACAAAAATAACTTCGAACATATTACGTTTTGATGTGACGTTGTTCAAGCGATTCCTCCCAATACTGCAGATCCACCAGATCCTCCCCCTCCTCCTGAAGGGCGTTTGGACATTGCTGTACAGGTCTATGCTCACTATGGGCGTGCTCAGCTTAGTTTGGGCATTGTAAATCTCCTGGCCGGATCTTTTTGTCCATCTCTCGGCCATTTTAGAAACAAAAGAGGCACAGATCACCCATACTGCTCCCCTTTCTCAAAATTCCGTCCACATCTCGACCGAGGTGTCTCTACGTGGGAGCACTCGGCTAGAAATTTGTCTCTGAGGGTGGGTTGACCTCCTTTAACAATGCCGTGCCCGCTTGGCACAAAACTGCCCAACGCCCGCGCAAAAGGCGTTCCAACAGGCGCTCAACTCCTTCCAGGCGCTCAACTTTCCTGGGGAACAAAAAAGAAAGAATTCTGGCATCATCTCCCCAATCGTACCCCAATTCCCATTAGGGGATAGTTTCTGACCATAGTAAAGCCATACCTAACCCAATCTTGACCCGGTTGCTTCACCTGTGAGGAAATTTGTGGCAACCAACGTCGCTAGGTTACTTATAGTGGGACTACAAAGGATAAATCGCTGGACATTGATCAATTCAATGCGCCAGATATTCTATTTCTATCTTGAATCGCATTAGCCTTTCTAAGGCAATTTGGCATACATAGTTACTTGAGGGAGCCACCGATGAACCAATATGTAAGTGCTCATGTCTTCCCAGACAAGTCTGGTACCACTTTACTAGCCCCGGAGAGGTGGAAAGCGGCTGTCCCAGGTAGAACACAAACCGGGCGCTGTTTGGCGAGGGGGGCATTTTGCACTTTAACGACTTCCCATCGACGTGTCGACCCATCTAGACAGCCTCTTCTCGAGTTGACAGGTTTTACCATGATGGCTTGACGAGCTTGCTCCAGCTTCACAAGAGTTCACAGGTTTCACCAGAGTGAGACTTGTAAACCAGAACTGAGGAAGCAATGATAGTACAAAATGCCCCCCCCTCCGTCGGCATACTGCGCCCACAAACCGGGATTCCACTTTTACGCGCTGTAAGTGGCGCCGCCTCTCACCCCACAACTTCGCCGAAAATGATGGAAATTCCTGCAAGTTTGTGACCCATCTGCAACGCTAGTACAAAAAGGAAAGATTCGCGGTCACAAATTACCCGACCTGGATCTGTAACCTTTCCCAGTGGTGCGAAAGATTCGCTGCGCGTGACATCCCATTTATCAAATCTCTTCTCCGTTATCATCAAAGAATCTTCGCATCGATCACCGCACAGTCGCAATTGGAACAACAATGCGATCCTCCTAGAAACATCCATGGATCAGCGGGTTCCACTGAATTAATTAATGGTTCGTTTGTTATGCGGTTCCGGCGCTATTCGGCTTGAAGGGGGCACCCCTCCGTCGTCAAATACCGGTGGAAGCTTTCCCCCAACTGACCTATTTGAGGAGGGCTCGTGACCATTACAGGCACCTAATCTATTCCAACTATCTGCAAGAGTCACTTATTTTTTTACATGGGTAGTCCCTTGAGCCCCCCCCCCCGCCCCGCGTCAAAAACCCACCAGGAATGAGTAAGTACCCACAGACTCCAATATCCCTGGTGGTCGACATATGGCGGAAATATGCCCAATGCCCGATAAGCCTCCCTAACGAGGCCTTTACGATATGGACAAAGCCGTGAGAAGCAGTAAGCGAGAGATATCGATTTATCGATCGGAGGATCGTAATGTTCACGGATCGATTCCACTACAAGTGAGTCAGGTGAAACGTGGAATATCCAATGAATTTCGTCTAGAATAATTATATAGTCAATTCGATACAATAAGTTTCCCACGTAGTTGTTGAATGTAAAGTCATCTCTAGCTGAGAGTCTGTACAACATACAGGGGGTGTTCGGCTCGAGAGGGGCAGTTTGCCCTTTCGTCAGTTCCCTTTGTAGTTCATGTTGAATACCAGGGCCACATTTCTGTGAGATAGCAAACTCTGATGTTCCAATGGCTAGCCGCCATCGACACGACTCGTCCACCAACTAAAAATCTCTTTTTTGGGCGTGGTTGGGCTTGGAGGGGGCACTATACAATACGCAGTTAAGCTTGCACAGGCCAACATGTGAATACACGTGAAGCTGCAAAATGGTATAAGTGAGGCACTTTGGTTGCAGGAGTTCCCACGTCTTCGCAAGTTGGCCTGTGCAAGCTTAGCTGAGTATGCTATAGTGCCCCCACCAAGCCAAATCACGCCCAAAAAAGAGATCTCTAGTTGCTGGAAGAGTTCTGTCGGTGGCAGCTAGCCATTGGAACATATGAACAAACCACTTCAATCGATTGTTCTAAGTTTCTTCTTTAAGATTTTTCTATGGAGCGCCAGGCTCCACTCTTATCGGAATCAGGGGAGACTAATATCCTTGCAACAACCATGAAGGGTTGGAAAGTTTGATGGCAGCTTGCGGATCGATGTGGGGTTTAGGACGCATGCAGTAGAACCAACACATAATACCACTCTTCAGCTCCGCACCCTCCTACCAAAAGTGAGTGCGCGCTAAATCAGTAACTGAAGGGCAATGATCCATCGATCGCTATCTTCATTAGAGCGGGGAGAATTTTTCCAAAA